ATCAATGAATCATCCACAGCACTGGAAAAAAAAATATCCACATGTGACCACAGGTCTGTAAAAAAACATGGAAATGTTTCATCAGATTGATTTGGTGACTGCAGCATGAGTCGTCCCAGAAAACGGCACAGTTTGGGCTTTTAATCACCTTGTTAATTACTCTCTGTTGGGCATTTGTGTGTGTGTGTGTGTCTGTGTTTAACTGAGCAATAAAGAGATGGATCATTACTTTGCAGCCATTAGGCAAAAAAATAATGCAGCTAGGGGTCATTCAAATAATCACCATTTAATCTACATTTCTTCATTAGATACATCAGAGCTGCTCATTTGGAAAACACAGTAAAGCCACCATCTTAAGTATCTGTTGCACATGAGCAGCAGTGTGAAATTGAAGGATGGGGGAAATTCATCAGTATTGACTGCCCTTTTAGCTCGTCATTGGCCTTCGAACCCAATAATCAGTACATCACTGAGTTGAATTCCATGCTTTTGTGTGTCTTTGTGAGTTTTCAGGATAAGCATGTGGAATTTAACTTTTAAAAGCAAGCTTACATGGTAATTTCTACCTGTTCTGGACTCCTTGTGGAACCATTTGGTCGTAAATATTCGGGCAGCGTCACTCACTTGTTGGCTATTATCAGATGACCAGAGTTTTGACAAGACCTGATTTATAGTTGAGCTACCCATCTAAATCACCACGCTCCACATTTCCTGTCTGTGACCTTCCTCCATAATGCTCCCTCACTCATTCTTCTTTTGTGGTTGTCACAGAGGAACTGTCAGACATATGTTCCTAGGAGCAACGTCCTCCCTGTGCATTTGTGTATGGATTTCTTTTTAGTATGCACCCCAACCATTCTCTCCCCTGTTGCAGTAATTAGACCTTCTCCATTTACGCCAGCAGCGTCATGCTGGTAGTGGACAGTCTTTAATCATGGGTGAGTGTCTGTCAACACTTAGCAAAAGGAAGAGTGAAAAACAATAGTGGAACATGTCTGTCGGGGCTGGATGCATGGATGAGTGATAGGGCCTTGTGTGTGTGTGTGTCTGCCGTTCCCTGCAGCATCAGAGGGGAGATCTATATAGTTGTTTGTTTCTGTCGCAGCAGCTCTTTGCATTTGTTTACATGTATATATGCCGCAGCTGAGCTACATCACTTTAGATTGACTCTACAACCTCTCACACAATAAAAGGCATGTGCACAATGCAGATTACGAACGGCTGTTTTCCCTTTACATCCGGCACAGACGGTTAACAAATTTCTCTGCTTCTGCATGTGTTTATCTGCGTATGTAACGCTATTGTGATTTCTCTCTGATTGTATCTGATTCTGTGAGTGTGTCGATAGTCGCAGGGGTGTGGGCCTCTTAGAGAAGGCATGTTTTATGCATGAGGGCCAAGGGTGGGGCCCGTTAGGGGGGTTGAGTCGGCGGACACACACAACAGCCAGATCAGCGGACACCATGGCTACTTGGCAGAGATGCACAAGAAAGCTTCTATAGGCACTGCTCCTCCTTTTTAACTCCTTTTGTTGCCCCGCATTCAAGTGCAATTTTGTTTCTCTCTCCATGTCCCCAGTGTTCCCAGTACACATGGACAGCACAAACAGCAGTGTGCGTGTATCTTAATTTGAGACTGTATTCCAAGACAACAAGCATCTTTGATCACATCAGTCACTCCGAGCTCCTTGTTTTCTGTGCATTGTGTTGTGAAGGATTCCTAGCTGTTTCACTATTCCTAACCTTTCTGCAGTTACAGTGCCAGCAGGGCTTTAATTCAATGCTACACTCTGCCAGTCTCTGCCCTGGGCTCCGTATTACAGCAGGCCAAGACAGAAAGTATCGCTGACTGCTTTTGTCAGCGTCGAGTCTCGAAATGAAGCAATAAAAATGTTTTTCCGGGCCAATATTGTGTCATGTGAAATATACAATAATTTGATACTTCTGACAAGTTTGCAATGATTTTTAATGTTTTACAGCTTTAGTAAATGGATGTGAAAGAGAAGAATGTTCACGGGCTCGCAGTTCACCGTGGTAAAAGGAAACAGTTATTATCTAAAGAACATGTAAAGAGCTGTGGTGGTTTGGTGATAAAATATTGCTGATGTTCTCTGTGACTTTTAAGCCATCCATGCCTCACAGAAAGGTTGGCCTAAAATGTTTTATGGCCAGAAGGTTGTGGGTCCCAGGTGGAAAAATTGCAGTTGGGCCCCTGAGATAGGCACTTAGGCTGAATTACCCTGGTAAGATATACAGCTGTTTAAGCGTGGCCTCATAGAAGGGAGGCAAAAGAAAATATATGAGCCCCAGAAATCTGTCAGGCTGAATAACAGTCAGATTTTCTGGGGCGTTACATGAGTCAAAACAAAGGCAGCAGTGAACGTGCTATCTCTTCTCACAGAAAACTCACAGCGTAGGAAGAGTGAGCTGTCACCACTGGAAGAATGCTAAATTAGCATGTTTAAATTTTCATCAGAGCTCCATACATCCATTCAGAGATCTAAGGTCAAGTCGTGTTGGAGAATGCCACACTTCTCATTAAGCCCTGAAATGGAATAATCATAGCGTTAAACCACTGATGCAGCTACGTTGGTCTAAAGTACTGCCACTCTATATTAAGTATCTCTCAGTCTCTTGTCCATTATAGGAGTGTTTGCAGGTTGGTTTCATTTATATTCAGACGATAAAGCTGTACTTTGTCTCTATACCAACGCTGTCAACCAAGAGGAATGACATGTCAGTTGAAAATATTAAAGGTCCAGTGTGTAAGATTTAGGGGGTTTAAGTAGCGTCTAGCGGTGAGGATTGCAGATTGCAACCATGTTGAATGTGTTTTTTTAGCAGAAGCCTAATTACTCTCCAAAGTAATGGTTAAGGGGTCTCATTTATAAAACAACATGTAGGATCCATCTAAAAATGTACATACGAACAAAAGCCAAAAATGGTGTGCGCCAAAAAATGTTCAACGGTTTCTACAATCAGGCTTCCACCTCACCATCTGCTTCGCCATTTTTTTGTCTCAAAAGTGTTCTTAAGCATGGGTCAGAGTTTCTCCCATGACATATGTTTTTATACATCACAACTTTTGCCTGAAAGTGGCGTACGCGTCTTACGTGCAGGCCTCGTTTTGTGCGTACGCAATGTTTATAAATGACACCCCAGGTGATTAAAACTGGTATAAACACTGAATAAAGTTCCACATAACAAATCTGTGTTTTCCAGACACTGCTTGGCATGTCGGAGATGGGTCGCTACCTTGCTAATCTGTGCTCACCCTTTTTCACTGATAACTTAAGATCCAGACATTCAGGACATTTTTAACAGGAGCTGAATTATCTGCAGAGGTCTCTTCCTCTCAAAATCAAATGGACCCAGTCATTTAAACTGGTAAAAATACTGAATAAAGCAGTCATGTTTAAAAAATCTGTGTTTTTACAATGCTCTTATTGTGGATATATTCAGTTTCTGCCAATATGTTGCCCTTAATCATACGCACAGGACCTTTAAATGCAGAAACAGTGGATAAGTCACTAAACAAACTGAACGTATTATCTTCAGTGCAAAACAAAGACAAAGGGGGACAACAGAAATTAATGGAAGGACAAAGTGGCGACAGCAAAGCATGTCTCTGGTATAAATAAGCCCCCCCAGTAGCGCTGCTTACTTCCTGCTCGTCCTTTAAGTAATGAATTAACGCAGGCTACAGGTTGGGAAGAGCAGGAGGTTAGGAAATAATAAGGGGTCCGTCCCTCTTGTTATGCTAACAATGTTCAGATAAGTCCTCCTGCGTCCAATTTAATTATGGCTGACATTTAAATGAGTACACTTGTGCTGAAGAAGGTGGGAGAACTGCGGAAGAAGAGAGGGCCTCTCTCTAATTGAGTTTGTCGCTGGCTCCACCTTCGATGCCGCCTTGGTTCTGCAGGCAGCAGCCGACATGTGAAGTGCAGCTGAATGAGGCTCTCTGTAGGGATATTGATATTGGTTATGCTGTGTGGCAATGTATGTGTGTGTGTGTGTGTGTGTGTGTTGTCTTTGTTTGTGTTTGCATGCATTTTTAAAAACATGCCTTGCCTACATACTAAATGTCAACATATGGCAGGAAATCCATATGCTCCGTACTTTACATGAAGAGATCACCTTCAGCGACTGGTGACTCAGTTACAGTTGTAGGTGTGTCATGTCTACTCAGGTTGTCTATGTGTCAGCCCTGTGATAGTCTGGCGATACCCAGCCAGGGTAAGCAGCTACAGAAAATAAATGAATGAATGAATTTCTCATGGTACATTTAACATACAATAAAAGAGTAATAAAGAGCAATAAAAGAGGTGAATGAAGAGGAATCCTCATGTGTTTTCTGTGGGTGTTTTTATGGGATAGTGGATCTTTCAGGTCAGTTTGAGGAGTGCCTGGTTTGCATGTTCCACAATTCATCATAAGTGTGTAATGCAGTGGGACTGACACTGATCGGGTCGTGACTTTGTCCGGGTTTATGTGGTCTTCAGTACGACACTGGTCATTGTGGTTACAGTTGTGGTGTGGACGCCATCCACTTGAGATAGAGCTGTTTTTAAAATAATGTATTTTTAATATTGTTAGAGTTATTGTTTTTGGTGCGGATGGGCCTTAACTCATTTATCAGTGTGCACTTTATGTTGAGCACTACAGCAGCTCTACACTGGTCTTTTAGGCACCCTGTGAATAATCACCTCTTATCTTGAGTTTTTTCCATTTTAAGTGTTAATGAATGCACGCACATGACTTTGGCACTTCACACAGCCTTTAAAGCTCCTTTACTTTCCCCTCGCAGACATAATGACTGGATGGTAAAGGACAACATAAACATGTCAGGAGAATTCTCCGTTGTTGATTTGGTAGACGTGTTTTTATTAAATCAAAAAGTGACGATATATGGGTCTTACAGTTCTGTGCTGTGGGCAGCTTGTTGCCCTGTATCTGTGCTGTGTGTGACCTAGTATCCCCCTTTTCCTCGCTCTACAGCCATGGCAGACTTCCATGTCCAACCAGAGTCGGTGCACGCCGAGGAGTCCGGTGTGGCCAGATTTCAGTGCCAGATCCATGGCCTGCCAGAGCCTGTCATCAGCTGGGAAAAAGACAGCCGTCCGGTGGACACTGAGGACAAGAGGTTAGGCCAAACCACATCGCGGCCTGACACTTATTGGAGATGGCAGCACTTTATCGGTCATTTACCAGGTCTCATTGTATTTATCTTCGTCTGTCTTGTGTCTTTATTCTGTCCCGTAGGTACACTCTTCTGCCTACAGGTGTCCTGCAGATTACAGGAGTGCGTGAGGAGGACAGTGGGAAGTTCTGCTGTGTGGCTCATAACAGTGCAGGAGTGAAATACAGCACTGAGGCCCTCCTCACTGTTTCAGGTTGTTAGATTTAATCTTTTTTCCACATCTGCATACCATGAGCAGACTATTGTCCCAGCATATTCCCAAGATTTTCTAAATCTATTGTTCCCCTCCGCCTGATCTCAGAGATAGCTGCATATCGAGCTAATGCACTCTAGAGAAATCCAATTAAAGGATGCCATCCATCATGCTCGTTCCCATCTTATTCTCCTCTCTCTGCTGTTTTTTTTTTCCAGGCTCTCAGTCATCTGTTTACAAAGAGCCTATGATAGTGGTCGGCCCAGAAAACCTCACCCTCACTGTTCACCAAACCGCCATCTTGGAGTGTGTTGCTACTGGATACCCTCGGCCCATCGTGTCTTGGAGCAGACTAGGTGAGGAAAAAATCCTGATCAGATCAAAGAAAATGCCCCAGAAGGTGCATGTATGTTGAATTTGTCATTCTGAGCATGTGTGCATATGTGTTTGAGGAATTATGTGTCACTGAGCCAAAGCACAATCACAGTGTGCGTTTGTGCATGGGAAATCTGTATATAATGTGTGGGTCGTATGTGCTTTGTGTCCCTGTGTGATTTTATGTTCTTTGCAGTGCAGCTTTGATCTGTCAGCATTGTGTTATGTACATGTGTGCACAGAATACATTAGATACAGTGGAGCATCTATTGTGTATACATGAAGCAATGGGATTCAACATTAGGCCTTGGGGCTAAACATTATGTTCGACTCTGTGTTGATAAATGTATGCTTCATCTCCTCGTAAAGTTGAACCTCCTTCGAAGCACCGGAGAGCCTCTGAGTAATTGCTGTGAGGTGCTGAAACAGATACGATTAGTTTCTCCCTCTCGCCATGTGCATTTTTTTCGTGACTATCACTCAAAGTCTGTTGTGACCAATTTTTCAATCTGGTATCTGTTTTCTTTACCTATTATCCAATCTGATTTGCTGTTCCAAATGTAAATTGCTGCCCCTCCCAAGCAGTTGGGTATAATCAGATTGAGGGTATTGCCTTACACAATGTCGCCAGAATGAAATGCTAACACGATGGGATTTGTATGTATTAGATTACGGCAGGGAGGCTGGGATAAGCTGCATAATGAATCTGATAGTTTCACATCAGTCACTCCTTAATGCCGGAGTTTGTTTGCTGCTATCCATTCAACAGCACCACAGCCGGCTAGCTTGTGCTCTTTCTTTTCTGACACTAAATTAATTAGTGCCTGACGGAGAGAAACTGATGGAGGGGGCAAGAGATGCAGAGAAAAAAATATAGTAGAAAAAGGCAAAAGGAGAACAAGACTTCTTTTGTTAAGACAAAAGCTCACTGGACTGAGAAGTTAGCTGGTGAAAAATGCAGAAATCACAATCAAACACACCATAATGACAGATGCAGGGTAAAAGCAACTTGACAGGCAAGTTGGAGTGATTTATTTCACCTTAGCCTTTTGTCATGATTAATAACAAATACTGTCCTTTTCATAATCTATCACAACAAGATTACGTCTTGCCTAAATGATGCTGTAATATATCTTACAAAGACTCACTGCCAGTAATGTTTTTAACTGTCTTCCTTCTGATAATTTCATGGATTTAATGGCTTGTGTGTGAATTTTAAGGCCCAGACACACCAAACAGACATCAAAGAACTAGAACAACGAGGGCCGACTGTTGCATCACCTCATGTTGCATGTGTCTCAGCCAGAGAGAGAGAGTTGCACTAAATGCACCACAAAGATTACATCCATTGCATTTATCATTAAAGGTCTCAAGAACAACAGAATGGATTCAAGATGCTAGTTAGCCAGTTAGCACATTAATTAACAACATAATCTGATATTGAAAGACCAAAGGATATTTACAGTGTGCTAGCAAACAATAATAATAACAACAATAATCTTATCTAATATAGTTATAATAATGATGATGATAATAAACTTCATATATATAGCATTTTTCATACAAGACATGCAGCACAAAGTGCTTTACAATAAGGGCAGTATAAGCACTGAGTGCTTCACATGAAAATAGACATAATGGACATAAAAAAGACGAGAATTCTATATAAAGGTACATTGTAGGTACAGTTTAAAACATGGATTAACTGACTCATAAGTTTCACTTCACTTAAGTGAACAGATACATTTTTAGCTTCCTTTTAAAGATATTTAGCGAGCTAGCTTCCCTGATATCTATAGGTAGTTTGTTCCATAGCTTTGGGGCGTAATTGACAAAGGCTGCATCCCCAATCTTCTTCTGGCTGTTTCTGTGAACCTCCAGTAAACCAGCAGCAGATGATTGCAGTGTTCTTGGAGGCAGATAGTTAACAAGGGAGTTAGCAATGTAGCTCAGTCCCAGCCCGTGTAGGGCTTTGTATACCAGGAGGAGGAGCTTAAAATCAATTCTAATATAACAAGTTTGTTACGATCTCATGCCATCTTGACTTTAGCTGTTTGTTCACTTTCCTCACTTTCATTTCTCCTGTGCTGAGCTAAACTGCCAATCAGAATGATTTCATCGCCAGTGGGCTCCTCTGTCTCCAGTGTCGATTCAACATAATGAATCAGCCAAAAAAAAGCTGACAATGGCCGACCTTTGCCAACAGCGTGGTACACACCACAAAAAACTAGGGCGATGGATGCTCACCACACCCCGACCCTGACCGACAGCTCGATGTGTCAGGGTTCTTAGACTTCCCCAAGAAGCTGTAAGAGAGGTTAGGTCTTCAGACAGGGGCTTTTATTACATCATCTGGTTAGAAATATCTAGTGCTACTGCTATGAAGTTTGCTTTTTGCAGTGTAGGGCCTGTGAACATATCTAATTAAAGGTGGTCTTAATGTTTTCACAGCAGCCTCACTGTAATTTTATTGCATGAATATATTCTCTTTGATGTTTGACAGATTTAATCCCTTACTTTCTTTACTTCTTGTTTTATATTGCTACATTTTGTATAATTTTGACAGAAGTACAACCTGTTATTAAAACATGGAATATAGAAATTGTAATTTTAAACTTGCTTGCCTTAATTATTTGAAAGATATGAAAGTAAGCCTGAAAATACTCTGCCGACCCGTGACCATATGGTTTTCATCTCTGACTGGAACCCCTGCCTCTGCGTGTGTCCGGCATGATGCCCATCACCCTGCCTCCCTGACTGGCCTTTTAACACATCAAATCTGGACCATACAGGCTTACAGGCTGCAGATGGAAGTCATAGATGGGATTAAAATGCCCCCTTGGCCCCATAGCTAATAGACTGCAGATAGGGAGCACAGGAAAGTGTGAGCTTATCATGTAAGTACAGTGAGAGCAGAGAGGAGGCAGCTATGGATTGTGTAAGGAGATAGGAGATTAGAAGTTGCAGTTAGAGCTTCTGGTCCCCCAGTGGCGGGTGGAACATCTCCTGCGTAACTGTTTAATGTACTACAAGGCTTTGTCAGACAAAGGCACAAAGAAAAGAAAGTTCCCGCTCAAGTGTGAAAGCTTTAATTAAACGAACATCTATTAGAGAAACTGCTCTTACAATAAAAAACATTAGAGGAAAAAGCTGATGATGAATGTACTCTTTAGGATGTCACTCTGACAACAGCCTCCCAGTGAAGACAACTAATTACAGCATGTACCCTGCTCACACAGCAGTCACAAACTCAGTGACCTTCTTCTCTTTATTACCCAGGTGTCTGTTGTACTGGCAGCTTCATCATAAGCCTTAACAATTCTGAGAATCACACACTTCACTGTGAAAGCTGCATCCTTGACCTCTTGCAGGGCCGGAAATAGAACCGCTCCCATTGAATTGTGGCTGTAAACGTGCAATACGTTTAATTAGGCTTTCTTGCCGGTGATTTAAGTGTACTCTGACCTTTACTGTAGTACACACCCCATTCACCCCTACCCAACATGAACATATACTGTACCTGTGCACGCTTGGCCTTTTTTGCTGCCCTATATAAATTCTTTCCCATCCTTCTGAACCGCTGTCTCTCTGTTTTCCACGCGTAGACGGCCGTCCGATTGGTGTGGAGGGAATCCAGGTACTCGGCACAGGCAACCTGATGATCTCAGATGTCGGTGTGCAGCACTCAGGGGTCTACGTGTGTGCTGCTAACAAACCAGGGACCCGTGTTCGTAGGACTGCTCAGGGACGTCTGGTGGTCCAAGGTGAGTTCTTGATATAAGGCTATTTTCAGAAGGTTAGGTAGAAGCAGTGGAGGGAAACTCAAAACACACAAATACAGTCGAGGTCAGGTGATAAGGTAAAGCTTGTGCATTCTCTGGGTGGACCTGTGTGCAGGCACCCTGACCACCATATAATAACTCCACCGACTTCCCATCAGCCAACACTTTCAGTTGTGTTTGCTGGAATGCAAAACCCAGCTGTAGCACCTCTGCCTGTACTTGAACCAGTGTCATTTCATCCAGTGTTTTGCCGCTGCGTCACTTTACAGACTTAGGTTTTTATTTTACTGCCAACCAAAGCTTGCACAACTTAGGCTGTTTTTCTACCTGCCGAGCAGCAGTAAAAATTTTGTTTTTTAGTACAACAGACGTACCATGTTGATACTAAAAAGCATGTCTCTCAGGGCACTACCAAACAAGCACAAACATTAATAGCACAGGATAAAGAATCAGTGATCCCCTCAGGTGTGAACAAACAGTTTATAAGTTCAGCCAACCAATAACAGTGTCATGATTCAAATCCATAACAATGGCATCCAGGTGGAGATGATAATATAAACAATAAAATGTATTTATTAACTTAATCTCTGGTGCCATTGTAAACAGTATAGAGCAAATCAACATACATCACAGTTGTGTTGTACAACTTTTGTGCTCACTAGAATGATGTTTAAGAGAGTTTTTACAAATGTTGGCCCCTCTACATGGACATGAAATCATGTACATATCGTACATTTGTGGAGGCACATGTGGTTATATGTTTGATGGTATCTTACTTTTTAGATCAGAAACGACACTCAAAAAAATCATTTGGAAGACGCTTTACAGACCAAGTTTGCACAACACAAAACTCTAGGCAAGTCTGTGAATGTATTCTTTGCAATGGAATCAGAGGCAGGGGTGTAAATATAGACACTGCAGATAGTGCGGTTGCACTGGGGTATGTGGGGTGGAGGGGCCGGATTACCACCTGGAAATACACCCGTGTTCAAAGAAGAACTCATGTGAAATCAAAAATGGTGCGATTTTTTTATATATGCCTTCAAAAAGGCAAACACAGCCCCATCGTGGTTTTCTGTTTTTGTAAGATAGTATCAATCTATAACAAAATTATATGCTTATTCTACATAAACTATAAAAAAACTATAATTTAACTAAAAACAACTTAGTTAAACCAATAATTTCCTGTTTTCTTTTGTCATTTACAGATATGTAATGATGATCACAAGGTAACATGTTTGTTAAGGTTGTCCAATATCAAGTCTTTAAGTGTCTAATCTTGTAACAAGACGATACGATTTACAGAAGCCAGTTTAGGTGCAAAATCTGTCAAGACTGACAAGCTAGACACTTCTGCAAGCTGATATAACAAATGCGGCAGTAAGACATACAGTTGGTAAAATATATATATATGCCTAAAACTGTGTGTGTGTGGTTCATAACTAGCAACTAGGGCCCATCATAATAGTGTGCACTGGGGCCCATCGTAACTACCTTACATCACTGATCAGAGGATCAGATATGTCAACAGTGTGCAGATTTTCTTCAAATCTGTAGAACTGTTATCGTTAGAAGATATACAAATAGATTTTTTTCTTCAAAAAGGCCAGGACGAGATTGTTTTTGTGTTGGATATCTTTGTCCAACAGTCTCACAGAAATGCGTGAAATAGATATGACCTCTTAAGAATGCATTACATGGTGGTGGGCACAAAATGTGTTAACATTATATGCTGCCAAAATGAAAACAATGCAGTGCAAAATCTATTACGAACGGTTGCAGTTTTAATCACGTAGTTAGTGTGGTCAACTTTCTGAAACAGTTGCAGTTTGGGAAACACACATGGTTTGGTTTAGGGAGAAAAAAAAGGAAAAGATTGTGGTTTTGGTTAAAATAACTACATACCAGACGTAAGTAAAGGGAACTAACATACTTTGCATGGTTACGTAAAGTACCTACATAAAGTAATTTGCGCAGTTATGCAAAGTTTGTAAAGTCATGTAACCACACTGAATTTTGTTTTCACACGGAGCATGAACAGAGATCTAGTGGTTGAAAGTCCATGTGTGTTTGACCCATCTACCATCCCTCCCACCCACTGTACGTGGATGATCTCACTCTTTACACTTAATTCGTTTGTCCAACATGACAAGAGATCCTCATTGAATTTGCATGGCTGTTGTTTTTGTGTTGCCAGCACATAATAATAACACATTTCGTACCCAAAGTTTGTGTTCATTTTACATATTTCTATGAGAACAGGGTGCCGCACCTCAAAACTTTCTCTCATGCCCTCAGCTTTAACAAATCAAATTTTGTCACAGGAGAGTATTTGTATCTTCTTCTTTCATATGATAGTTCTGAGGTTTTCCCCTCCCTATGGACACACACATAAAAATATAATATACAAACACTGCCATCATTCTTATTTAAATGTATTTGCATTATTTGGTGCAAATGTAAAGCCCATAGATGTCAGTACAGTTGCTCTTGAGAACAACCCTGATAAACTCAATATGAGATGTTGATGGCTTTGTGGCAGGGTTACAGTCAGATTGCATCAAGGTCAACTTTGTGTGGTATAATTGTAAAGAGACTCTCAATGTCACAGCAAGACGTGGCAGGTCTATCCTATATGGCCTCTGTTAAGAACAGTGAATCGTAACATTAAGAATGTAGAATGTTTGAATACTGGGACATAAATATAATAAATATTGTCAGTAAGTGCAGTAATGTTAAGTGCTTTATATAAATTAAATAAATAGTTCATGGGCTATATCATGCAAACCTGTTATTGTCCCTTTAATTGCTTTTTCACTCTGTTATTGTTTTATGTTGTTCTGTGATATTCGTCATCTTATTAGTGTTATAGGCAGCACCATGAATGTGTTGACCGTTGGGATGAGGCCAGGTGTGGGTGGCCCCCAGTGCATTAATTGTCACCAAGCAGGAAACATCCAGCATCTGCCATCCTCACTCAGATATTGACCAGATGGATCACACTTTGCTTCAGCCCAAAGCAGTATTGATCCTGATCAATATTTCATTTTATCTGCCTGTCAAGTCCAAGACAAGCCGGTTCCCTCGCAGGAGCAAAGAGGGGGAAAGCCACAGATGTTAATTATGTGTCAGTGTCTTTGGGTTTTGTTATTGACTTGTGGAAACAAAGGTGTACTGTCAGCTCCAAATACATGTCGGTTAGGTCTGTTTCTATATGAGAAGAACATGGCATGTCCTTGAGGAATTATTATTAGCACAATTAGCAATTGACACATCTTTGAATATGAGAGGGCTGTCATTTTAAAAAAAAAGAGCGGTTAGGAACTCAAACTCCAGATAAATGCAGACAAGAGTACTCATGAAACCATCACACATCAAACAAATGTACTGATACAGCAAATCAATTACGTTCATTTTGGCTCCTTGGGGCTACAAAAAGAGAGAGAAACAAGAGAAACAAAGACCAGAGGAGGAGTCAAACTGTGACAGCCCAAAGGGAAAAACAAGAGCAAGATGGATGGGTGGTGCAGATGATCTAACCCACACCCTTACAGGTGCAAATCAATATCTTCTCGAGCTCCCTGTGACCTTCACCTTTAAGACAGCCCTCAAAGAACATGTCGAGCGGGAGAGAAAGAGCGAATGAAGCCAGGAAGGAGGGAGAGATAAATGAAAGGACCATCACACGCTGTCAGCAGCCTCCATTCAAGTGCCTCAGGGTCCCCTAGCTTTTCCAATGGGAGAATGGAAATGCTTACATTGAAAAAGTGTCAGACAACATTTTGTCTATTAGGGTGGGAACAAGACCTTAGGACAGAACAGTGGAAATACTAAACTGGAGAAAAGAAAAATAATAAACAAAGGTATTTGAATGGCTAAAAATGTGGCTGTTGCATGAAATGATAAGAGTGATGCTATTCAGTAATTTTCTTATTGTCAACAAATCCCTTGAAAAGATAAAACCAACAAGTCGATCTTACTAACAAGTATTGTCTGTGTAAACAGCTGCTGATATAACTTATTCCTCTGTGCTATAGACCTCCATTGTTGTCCAAAGACTATTGTTAGGTTCATTCATGTCAGTGAACATGAACACTGCAGCTGTAAATAAATTACTAGTGCACCAAATGCATGTTAATCTGAGCAGAAAAAAATGTTCCCCAACCAATATTTAGTCGTGTTCTTTGGCTAAAAACTGCATCGGCCAACAGTTTAAGGAAATTATTGAACCTTTTTAAAAAACAAAGTAAAGCTCAGGACAACACTTCAGTTTGAATATTTAATGCCACATGGACATTTCAGGCAAGATGCCCTTTCTCAGAGTGTTCTGGCAATGTTTTTAAAAATGAAACTAAATATTTGTGACCTGTTTGTCAAGATTTAAAGCTGAGATAAGCAGACATCTGAAAAAAGAAAAAAACATTTTTTTAGAAAATACACCCTCCTCCTGCAGCCACACCCCACCCCTTCTGTCCCAAGCTCCTCCAACCAGACAACCACAGGTGTATGCGCGCATGCTTCACGCAGTAACTCAGTGTTTCCCATAGATTTAATTCTGTGTCATTGTACAGTTGCACGCAGCTCATTCACTCAGCCCCTCCTTGCGCCGCTCTATCTCTGTTAATCAGAATATAAATGAGAAAACAATTAGCTAGCTAGCCACCCCATGGTATTTCTGCCTTGCTCCCCTCTGCTGTGGACTGCTTCCCCGGGAGGAGAGATACAGAGAGACAGATCTGTGGTTGGCAGCTGTAGAGGCTCGTATTCGGCAGTTGCAAACCCCTCATCACTGGGTGGCACAACAGGTCCAACCTGTAAAGCGATCCAGTGTGGAGGTGGGTTCCCCCGGAGTTGGGGTTTGCATTGGCTGGTCCATCACTGGAGCTCCTGCCTGCTCTCCAGAGGTGGTCTGTAGTGGTGGGGAGAGAGGCGGAGCACACACTGTGATCCAAGGTTAGCTACATGAACACGAATTTGAGGCTGCAGCTGTGAGCCTTTGGCTCCGGTTTGTTGAAGCTAAACTATTAATAACATTTTCTTTCCATCTGTTAAACACTTTGCCGATGTTGTCACACGTGTTTTGTTACGTTTACGCCAGACGCCTGATAAGTCCGTCTCCCTTTTTTGGGTTGCTTTGCAGTGTAGGCAGTTGTTGCCAATGGTGGAATAGCAACTAATCCCTGCAAAGTTCTCCACTACCGAATCAGGGTTTCATCGAAGGGACGTGCGCGCGCATCTGCATTTGTAGAACAGCCAGTCTACTTAGATTTTCTAAAGCCTAAAAGCAAAGCTGAGACGAGGTGCAGAAGTAGCTGTCTTTAAGACCACTTGAATTATAACATGCTCAAGGTTTATCAAGGGATTTTCTCCCACTGATGCCAAAATTAAATTGCCTATCCCATCTTTAAGTCTTCAGTAAGAATTAATGAGCATTTTTTTTCTTAATGAACAAGAGTCGCTGTTTAGGTATCACCACACTAATCAAGGTTTACCTCTGTGTTAAAAATCACTCAACAGAATTAAATGTTGTTTTATTTCAGCCAGCATCAGTGTTAAAAGGTGTAAGGTCACAGTTTGACTTTAGTTGCTCAATCCCACCAGCTAATGATGAGTCAAATGATCGGCACAGAAGGAAAGCTTCTTTTTGTTTTTTTTATAACAGGCAATATGATACACCCTAGTATTCCAGCGTTCTACCCTCTAGTGAAGACTCTGAGATATTATAATTACCATAACATTTTTTCTTAGTTAATATGGGCATAAATAATTCAGGTTATCAAATCACAGATAACCGCTGGGACAATAATGAGTACGGAGAAGAGAAGTGCAATACCTCTCTGTCTGTCAGCTCAAATAAAAACACCAAGCCAGAAATTAAACTCCAGCGGATATAACTGTAATTACTCTGTGATTTAAAGAAAGTACCTTCTCTGCTAAGAGAACCGTTTCATATGAATAAGTTATTACCACTAATTGACCATAGCTGGAAAGCCTGAAGCATATATGAGGCAGGATATGATGAAACTATAAACTGCATCACTTTATTTTCCTGTAAATGTGTTGCTGTTTTAAATCACATTAGTCTCAAAGTAGGGCTGATGTTGATTGTCTTGCTGTTTTCTCTCCACTTTCCTGCTCTCTCTTCCATCGCACTGTATTTGCACTGATCTAGTGTCTCGTATAATCCTGCTAATTGACCCTGAATTATAGATTTGCAACACTATTTATCCATACACCTACGGTATAATGCAGTACTCTGCTTCTTTATAATAAAGGGCAGCTGCATGCACACCCCGTGGGCTCTCTGGTTTTTCGCTTATCTTGTATTTCTTTCTGTCTTTTTATCAATGTCAGTCTTCACTTTTTTTTTTTTTTGTAACTCAAGATATTGCACCTCTAGGTCTCGCTCACATCTTCCAGTTTGTTTCTCTGGCACTGATTTTCCTGGCACTTGTCCTTTTGGTTGTGGGAACGAGGCCAACTTAACTGACTCTCTGCCTCCCTCCTCTCTCAGCTCCAGCAGAGTTTGTTCAAGCTCCGCAGTCCATCGCTCGGCCCGTCGGCACCACCGCCATCTTCACTTGCCAGGCACAGGGCGAGCCCGAGCCCCAGCTCACCTGGCTGAAGAACGGGCAGATCCTGGAGCCCGGGGGACACGTCAAACTCAGGAACAACAACAGGTACATTAAAAAGCCTTTGCCTTGTGTTCTTTTGTAAACGTATTCATATATTCAGGAATGCCCACAGATTCCTCAGGGTGCAGGAAAAAATGGCGAAACAAAAGAATAGCTCAGCTTTTTCAGTTTTTGTTAGTGCTGTCAGAAGTATTGTTTTCACAAAAGACCTTTTTTGGCACCCTAATTTGTAGTGTTAAGCAAAGGAGAGGGCTGCATTTTCTTGCCAATTTTCTTGGCATCGTGTCTTTGAGACTTCTGCCAGCTTATGTCTGATGCACCAATTTATTGTTCATACTACTGTACTAAATATTCCACTTAAAAAAGCATATTGTTGGTTATTGGTTGTTGTGAGTTGTCATATTGGCATATTGGTTTTGGGAAGATCTGAGTGAGTACTGTGGTGTGGAAAGGGATCAGCTTTGGGAAGATCTGAGTGAGTACGGCGGTGTGGAAAGGGATCAGCTCTGGATAAACTGCAGGAAAGGAGACCAGCGTTGTGTCTTAAATCAGATAGTTCTGTACTTGCTACTTTACGTACATGCATACATTTACACTGAGATTTATGGGAAAATGCTGGTACTATGAGTAACCGTGTGGTGCACTCATAACGGTCAAAATGTTGATTGTGCAACATTGGACACCTCTCACCCTCAACTGTCATCATGTCACTTATGTAGCAGAAGGGATGGGACCACAAACACATTTTTAACTTATGAAATGTCGGCTGATTACCACCATGAACACCAAAGCATAAATATACATGTGTACTTTTCACTACCACTATGCTACTGGATTAATCCTGTAATCATTTGGTACCATAAACAGTAACATGTATGCTATTGTTATCTTGTTAGCTACCTAACAGCGACACATTTTATCACCTGGCATTGACGCTACCTGTGTTATGGTGGAAGCTATATGATCTAAAAGCGTATTTATATTTGGTGTTAATGCCTGTTATTGCTTGACAAGTGGTGAATATGTACAACATGCAGCAGCTATCATTAACACAGTAGATCAGATAGTGATAGAGCCAGCAAGTATCAGCCGCTCATTCATAGATAATAAAACATGTTGTGAAAGCATGTTGATTTTCAATGCAGTAACTAAACAAAGAAAGAAAACAGAAGAAGTTAAGTGAGCAAGCACGCAGGTATAGCAAACATATATTTTGGCAAGTGAATTGTTTGTCTCATGTTGTCGAGAATGATCCGCCCGGTTGCAATTTCCCAAACAGTAGAAGAAAAGTTATGAAATCTTGTGATAGATATTTCCCGTAAGTGCACCACAGGCATGTTTGATTGGAGACAACACATCCCCGTCAAAATTTGTGCACTATGCGAGGAAGTACATAGTGTTTGCCGTGTACTACATGTAAGTGTAATGACAGAAATATCCAATTTGAGACACAGCACAGGTGTTATATAACGGGATCAGATTGTGCTTTAGGGTTGCTGTGAGCTTTTTTAGGTTAGAGTGGTCTGTTAACAGATTGAGCTGATGATTGATTGATTGTACCATTTTTCTTGTCCACAGTAAAGCTATTAAAATGAAAAATTGGAGATGTTGTGGGACTATAAGAGAGGAGAGATCGCTTAACAGATTGATAGGATGGCAACCTTCTACCAGGAGGGATTCCCGTACCACTTTTAACTCTCCCTTTACTTACTTAAAGGCTTTGTGAGTCTTTATCAATGCATAATAAATAATTTAGCCCACTTATACTTAATAAATCATTTAAAGTCTTCCATCAGAGTAACTTTTGAGCTGCCAGGCAGTGAAAAATCTTGTGGCTGGTGTTTGTCCTCCAGCAAGACATTCTTAAACTCATCAGTAAGACCCTCGAGTGGTCCACTTAGTCTGGATCACAAACCATTTCTTAAAAGCTTATTAACAAGTGACAACTTACTAGAAAGTGTGAAGCCTACAAGCATTTATTGATGGATTACCAACATTTATAACTGCTCTTATTAATGTTTTATAACTGATCTATAAAGCATTGTAAACCCTTAATGGGGCTGTTATAGCCTTATAAAGCCTTTATCAGAAAGTGGTACAGTGATTTTATTATTTATTTAATCTGAAAAAGAGCCATAAACAGGCTGTCACGTAATGCACACTGTCATTAACACAGCCCAGATTCCCCTCCTAACTGTGATGGCACTCACTGAATCCTCACAAAGTTGGACCCAGCTCACAGAAGTAATATGGATGTCAGTATTAATCACTGCTGCCTTGATCTGATCATTGGCATCATCAAATGTTCAATTTCTCCGCGTTTCTGTTGCTTCTAACGCGGCAGCTGCTGGAATTTACGCCTGCCAAGACATGAGCCTCAATTTATTTGTGCTTTTGTATGCAAGCAGCGTATTGACTGGATGTTGGATGCTTTCCCATGGCAGTCCCCAGGAATGTCATGAGGAGGAGGACCCAGCAACCAGCTCTGTTAGTTACCATTCCCAGCACCTCGCGCTGTAGAGGCTGCACGTTGCAGCGGCTGTTTTCTGCGTCACGGTACCGTATGTGGCAGTGGGGTACTATCTTAGAGATGATATAAAGGAGTGATTGCATGCTGGACCTGTTTTTCTACTCTCAAAGAAGCTGCATATGAGTTTTACAGAACGATGGCTGATAACATTTCATGATCAACAGTTTTCCTGTAGCCTGAGGGCATTATTTAAGGGTAACACATAAGCGTGCAGCCTGTTGCTAGCACTTCTGAGTGTGTAATTGTACACTGCTATACTCCATCCATCCAGCAAATGTGTTTCTGAGTAAATTCTGTTATGCATTAATGCACACGGAAAGTTCAATTTTTCCAGTTGACCTTGGCAGCCAACCATCCGTGCATGTTGTTATTATTCATAAAAGAGAAGTATGAAGTGAATATATTAAATTTGCACCCCAAAAAAAATCAATACTTGCACTGCATATCAGTGAGTGAAGGGAGCAGACACCTCCATCGCTCACAGACACTGCTCCACTCCCACTTGCCCACACCAGTCTATATTAGTCAGGGAGATGGAGCGAGGGACTAACAAAGGAGGAAAGAGGAGAGGGAGGAAATAAATGAGAGGCTGGACTTAGACGTAGGGGGGAAAAAAAGGAGAAAAATGAACGGGTGGTCAAAAGAGAAATGATGAGTCGGCAGGAAGAGCAAATGAGGAGAGAAAGAGAAAGACAGAGCAGGTCGTCAGAGCATCACAGCGTTTTCCACTTGCCACCATTAGTGTATGCTATAGACCTACTATAATGTGGATGTCATGCATCACAATGCCTGCTCTGTGATTGGTTAAGGAGGCAGGCCTCAGCTTGAGATCTACCATTAGCTAATTAGCTCATAAACTCAGCTAGTTGACCAGGAAATGCAGTCAGCCATTTAGAGCACAGAGCAGCATTATGTGCATCTTTTTGCATTGTGTGGCTGAACTGTGAGGTGAGGAGAAAGAGCACATCACAGTCTGATTCATTATCACAGTCCATGATTTAATATTCCTTAATTAATATCTGGACATCAGAGTGTTAACCCTGTCTTCTACATTGTATTTATATACAACTCATTTATTTTGGAGTAAATGTAACTGATTGCTGAATTTTGTTTATTGGCAACAAGGGCTTAAAATTATTTTCATATTTGATTAATCTGCATTTTTTAAAAATAATAAATTCATTGTCTAGATTAAACATCAGAAAATAGTATAGAAAAACAGCTGATGTGTTTTGTCTGTCCAACAGTCCAAAACAACACCCTCTCTCACCTAAACGACAGAAGAGGTCAATTTCCACTGACTTCCAAAGTGACAGACATGACTGTCCCCAAAAAGGCATTACCATCCTAATGGTTGCAGTTTAAAACATGTCCTTAAAGTGATGAAACGTCCCCATTTCGCTATAAATCTTAGTGGTTACGTTTATAAAAACATCATGGTTTGGCTTTAAATTAGTACTTTTGTCACTAAAATAACAGGACGTATGTCACTTGATAGACGTAAGTGGTGTAGTGGAGGGTGTATGCAGGTATACTGTACGGGGTATACCCACCTATTAGCCAAAAAACACTGGAATATATAGCAGAGTATACCCAGGACCCTCCTAGGTAACCTACCCACCTGTTGGTAGTACACCCACCTCATCAACTACCACAACACCACTGAAAGATATATATATTTATTTAGATATATGCCACGTCACATAGGTTACAAGCGTAGTATGCTACACATACTAGCATATTATGCTGCGTTGTTATTAAAGACGTCAATGTAGACTTTGGGCCATGAACACCAGTCTCCTGGGTGAAAGTCCTGTGCTTGTTCAGCTCATTCTCACTGCAAAGTCTTCGAATACCGCCGCTTTGTCAATGATTTGGGCATCAGACCCCTTGATGCCAAAAGCCACCTTTTGCGGCAATATGATACGCGGCTCTGCAGCGTCAGTATGTAAAGCAGCCGGACGTAACATTTCACTGTGTTATGATGTGTGATATGTGTGACAGTGATTTTTTTTCAAACCTAACCACAGGCTTTTGTTGTCTAAACTTAACCATGTGTGAAGGCCTGGACGTCAGCAGCAGATGCAGAAGGATACCTAGCACATAATATGTAGACGTGAAAGGCCACTGACAAAGCAGTGATATGTAACGACTTGGGATGAGAACATGTTGGCTTGTTTGACCCATCCACCACCATCCACTCACCTTGTAGGGACTTTTTCCATCTTTATACAACTTAACACAGACTATGTCACTTTTTATACTACATCACCCGACTTCCTCCTCAGCTCCTGTAATACTTACTACAGCTACTGGAAGGCGTCGGCTTACAACAATGCATGTATGGTTCTCAATAAGCCGTACAGTCGACTTATATGGTACAATTAAAGTACAAGTACAATAAAAATAATCAATTCACATTTGCAAAGCCAAAAACGTATCATAAAAATGACAATTTATTATCAACATTGTTTGGCAGTTATTTTTTTCTGGATATAAATAATGGACAGATCAT